GAGGAGGTGAGGAGGTGAGGAGGTGAGGAGGTGAGGAGGTGAACTGGTCCATGAAATTTGCTCCAAAGGAAAAGTTCTGAGTAAAACTTCAATCTGAAAAGTAACTTTGAACATTTTTTGAGCTTGAATCTTTTTTCTTTTGAACAAACGTTTGGCCCTGATGTTTCTCCGTACGACGGGTCCTGAGGATCCCCACCTTGTTCAGCTCCTGGTTCTGCAGGGCCCGGAGGCCCCACAGCTCGTCCTCCAGCTCCCCTTCATCCTCCTCCTCTTCCTCCCGCTGATCCTTCCTCTGACTCTCTTTCTCTGCAGGATTTAAAGGAACATCAGCTGCTGCATATGGTGTGTGTGTGTGTGTGTGTGTGTGTGTGTGTGTGTGTGTGTGTGTGTGTGTGTGTACCGATCACGGCCAGTGACGGGGGGCAGGGCCAGTAGTCGGTCTCGATTTTGGACGGCTGGTTGGGATCTGGAGGCTGAGCTGCTGGGAACTTTGACGACTCGATGATCAGATCCTCGATGTGTTTCCCCTGAGGGACGGGCGAGGACGAGACGTCTACACACACACACACACACACGCACACACACACAGTCAGCACGTTAAAGCTGATTAGAGGCTCTGACCCACATTCAGTCAGAAACTCACCCTGCCTGTAGATGGGAGGCTTCTTATAGATGTTGGAGCCGTTTTCTATCAAAAAACAAAATTTCATCAGAAACGACTAAAATTTGAATCATTAATGTTAATTAACAAAAATAAAACAGAAAAAATCTTTCCCATTTGTTATATTTAATCCAGTTTCCTCCTCAGACCTTCAGATTTTTTATGTGAATCAGAACCTGGAGGTTTTAAAGTTTCAGGTGAAAGAAACTCGTCATGTTTTCACCAAGTCATTCATCCATTCATCAACCTCAGAGCCACAAACTAAACACTTTATAAGCAAAACAAATGTTTAGCTTGAAGGATAAATATACTGCTCAAAAAAATAAAGGGAGCACTCAAATAACACATCCTAGATCTGAATGAATGAAATATTCTCATTGAATACTTTGTTCTGTACAAAGTTGAATGTGCTGACAACAAAATCATCAATGGAAATGAAATTTATTAACCAATGGAGGCCTGGATTTGGAGCCACACACAAAATTAAAGTGCAATGTTCCCTTTATTTTTTTTCAGCAGTATATTTAACTAAAGAGTTAGCCTGCTAAATATTTAGCTTGTTAGCTAAATATTTAGCTTTTTAGCTAAATATTTAGCTCAGGGATAAATCTTTAGTTTTCGGCTAAGTATTAGCTCACAAAGTATGTGGCTTGCTAACTGGGTGTTTATCTTAGTATGAAATGTTTAGTTTGAATTTAGAACTGAATGAATAACTTGGTGAAAATTTGAAAAATGAACTTTGGTTTTTCAGACTAAACGTTGTAAATGATTGCAGATATTTCTGTTGGACTTGCAGAAATGTCTTCCCAGAGTGGAGCTTTCTGCCGTTACCGGGTCGGTGGAAATGCTGCATGGCGCTCTTGCTGCCTGCCGGGTGTGTGTTGGTGGCAATGGGTGTGTTCAGCGCCGGTGGAGTGTGTGAGCTCTGGGTTCTGCTGCTCTGGATGGTGGAACCGGGTGAAGAACCGCCAGGTGACCGGTTCTCCAGCCAGTCCCTGGACTCCTTGGACGAGTTCTGGGAGGAAACAGAGCAGGAGGAAAAGGAAAGGAAGTGAATTCCAACTCACTTCCTTTAAAAACCAACTCAGGGCCTGGGGGCCAAATCTGGAAGCTTTTCTGTGGGTCTGTGGAGCCACCTGGTCCTCAGGTACAGCTGGCAGGGGACCAGAGGACCGGGCTCTGTGTGTTTACATCACTTCGTCCAGGATCAACAATCACTGAAATTCATCCAGATCCACTGATTCCTGCCAATGTTTTCATGCCAATGAATAATTTGGAGGTTGTTGCAAATTTTCAGCAATAATGATGAAAAGTCGGGTTCATGTGATGCTACCTCCCACCTGCAGGCGGCAGGGTTTCTCACTTCTGCTGCTTCAGAGTTATTGTCCTGATCCAAACACCGACACCGAATCTCCTGCTAACATTTCTAAACTACAGAAAAGAAATTCAGAAATAAAATGTATTTCTAAATTAGATTTTAGAAAAATGCTCCAGGAAATCAGAGATTTTGATTTTTAAAAGAATCACAGAAACAACCTTCAGGCGACCCATCAGAACCACAGAAAGGTCCAAACAAATCCCTGATCCGCTCAGTCACTGCTGCTGCTGCTAGGCAACAGCCCGTAGCAACCAGGTGCAGCCCATAGCAACCAGGTGCAGCCCATAGAAACCAGGTGCAACCCATAGCAACAAGGTGCAACCCATAGCAACCAGGTGCAGCCCGTAGCAACCAGGTGCAGCCCGTAGCAACCAGGTGCAGCCCGTAGCAACCAGGTGCAGCCCGTAGCAACCAGGTGCAGCCCATACCAACCAGGTGCAGCCCATACCAACCAGGTGCAGCCCATAGCAACCAGGTGCAGCCCATAGAAACCAGGTGCAGCCCGTAGCAACCAGGTACAGCCCATAGCAACAAGGTGCAGCCCGTAGCAACAATGTACAGCCCGTAGCAACCAGGTGCAGCTCATAGCAACCAGTTGCAGCCCATAGCAACCAGGTGCAGCCCATAGCAACCAGGTGCAGCCCGTAGCAACCAGGTGCAGCTCATAGCAACCAGGTGCAGCCCATAGAAACCAGGTACAGCCCATAGCAACCAGGTGCAGCCCGTAGCAACCAGGTGCACCCCATAGCAACAAGGTGCAGGCTCCAGTCAGTTCGGCGGCAGCGGGCCGGATCGCACCGCCGCCTCCAGAACATCTGAGAGGAAACCTGCAGCCTGATGATGATGATGCATCAGGGCCCCGTCTCCATGGAGACGCATCGGCCTGAGCGATGAAGAGTGTGATGAAGAGTGTGATGAAGAGGAGGTGTTTACCTCTGGCGAGGCAGGCGGAGAGATGGAGCGCGGAGACAAAGACCTCTGGAAGAAAAAACAGGAGAGAAACAGATTCAACGAAAACTGGAGGAAGGTTTTCACCCGCAACCGATTTTTATCTAATAATAAAAATAATGAAGTAATTGAGTTTATTATATATTTAGATAAAGAAAGCTAAATACTTTAGAAATGTTGTTTTGCATTAAAACATCAGAAAATGAAAAGAAAACGTCCTGACGCCTGAGGAGACAAACCCGGGGGCAAAATGTCCCATCAACACGCCGCCATGTTGGATTCTGCTGCTTTAACAGGAAATGATGCAACAGCCATCCAAAAACTAACTAACTAACTAACTAACTAACTAACTAACTAACTAACTAACTAACTAACTAACTAACTAACCAGCCACTGGTTTCTATCTTCTCCCAGTTAAACCAGTTGGGCTCCATCAGTTCAAGTTTCACAGCAAAAGAAGAAAAACAGGAAAACTGTGATTAAATGTAAACCGATCAGTGGAACCGCTAAAGGTCAGTGAAGGTCATCAGAGGTCAGTAGAGGTCAGTAGAGGTCGTGACCTCCAGAGGGCTGTAGCTGTAGTGCGGTTGGTAGATCATCAGGTCGGGTCTCTCGATGTCCAGGATGGCTTTGTCTCTGGGCAGCGCCGCCAGGTCCTTGTAGCCGATGACGCCGTCCTCCACCCGGGCCTGCAGAGACACACGGGGTCAGAGGTCAGAGACGCCCAAGGTCAAGGTCACCTGAAGGACGTTTCTCTGAGTCTCACCACGATGGCGGCGGCGGGCGATCCGGGAACGCCGGTCCCTCTGAGCGACAAGACGCTGCCGGGAGACGTCTGCGCCGGCTGCTGCTCCGCACACAGAGGGACAGGAAGAGGTCAAAGGTCGGCTCAAGGTCACCAGACTCCTCCCACTGAAACACTCACCTTGGGCATCATCATGCCTGCTGATTGGTCAGTTCCTGAGGAGACACAGGCAGACAGCCAATTAAAACCACAGGGAGGAACCAGGCTGGAGGTTCTGGAGGTTCTGGAGGTTCTGTCGGGTTTACAGGATCGTAAACTTCTGGATTTTGTCTCTGGTCAGATAATGTGTTTGGACTGGATCAGAACTCCCAGCATGCCCGGCTGCAGCGCCTCTTTGTGCGACGAGTCCGACAGACACAAAGGGACGGTTCCAGAGGCCCGGTGTGAGCGGGAAGCGGCTTTCAGAACCGGCGGCTGTTTTTACCTCACAGAGAAAAGGCGGATCATCTCTGCATCAGGAGCTTCTCTGTTCTGCTTTCTGGGTCGATCAGCACCTGGACACAGACACAGCAGGAGAACTGGACTCACACTCCAACCATCTGCAGCAAGTCAGCTGCAGAAACAAACTACGGTTCTGTTGGTAGTTTTTAAATAAACGGGTCATTAAAACTCATGATCACAGCGAATGAAAAACCTGAAACCTGCTGAACAAACACAAACAGAAAACAGCTGCAGGTAAAAGTTTCCTCTACTGGGAGACAAACTAATCAGAGCAGCGTCAGCAGGGGGCGCTGCAGAGCCAGGATGGATGGGATCTGTCATCCACATCTGAGCCATATAGGTCTATAGAAAACACCACCTAGAACGGCTCAGACTCTACATGGTGACTTTCTATGAGTCCAGACCAAATAAACTCTGCTGCAGCTCTGACTGGTGAAACGTTTTGAATCTGCATCGTTTCCAGTAAACTCGACGTTTCTTCATGTTTCGGTTCGTCGGGTTTAAAATAACAGTTTGATACGTTTTGGGTTCAAGACAGAGAAATATTCAGTTTTTACTTCATGCAGTTAAATCATTTAAAACTTCTGAAAATATCTAAAATGTCTCGGACTGAAAAGAAATGTAGATGTTTTCCAGTTAAAAATGAAACTTTATTCCTGATTAAACATTTGTTCTGTTTTGGGTTTTGCTGCTCAGAAGGTTTCGGATCAAACTGCGGTTCTGATCCGTTACGTTCAGAGACTCATCATCAAACTGATTCCTGGCTGTAGAACCGAAGCTGATCATCGATCAGAATCCGCTCAGACTCTGGATAATTGATACCTTAATGGTTTGCTGACTGGGAGTTCTGGTCATTTCTGCAGCTGAAACCTTTAAAGTCATTCATCAGAATCAGGAACAAATTTCTCAGCTTATAAACGATCAGACCACATTTTGTTTGTGAGGTTTTTGGCACCAATGGATTCTTCAGCTGTAGGAAGATTTTAAATCTAAACACTTGAAGACAGACGTGAAACTTTATTCAACTCAAAGTTTACGAAGCAGCCAAGAAAATTAGCGATTCACTATTCATCTGGGGAAATTAGCTTAGGTGAAGCTAAGTGTGCTAAAGTGAAAAATGTAAAATTATTATTAGCATATTAGCAGGAGCGCGTCCAATCTGACTGTTTATAGTGGCAGGAAGATGGAAACCCAGGATCTGCCACAAGGTGGCTGCTAATGGCTAACAGCTAACAGCTAATGGCTAACAGCTAACAGCTCACCGCTAACAGCTGGCTGCTAACTGCTGTTTGCTAACAGCTAACCGCTGCGCCACCCTGCGGGTCAAGTGACGCTTCTTTCTACATTATTAGTCACATATTTGATTTTCTTCTGGAAATTCTCTACAGATACTAAAACAAATTATTTCTATCGTCCTAAAACCTGTGGATCTGCAGAGTCCTGACCTTTGACCTTTGAAACTGAAGCAGAATCAGAATTAGGAAAATAATATTTTCAGCTCAGAAATGATCATCGATCAACAGCTGATTCATTTCTGCAGAAGAGAACGAACAGCAGCAGTCAGCAAGTCTGGAGCAGAAACTAAACCATGCAGAGGTCACCCAGAGGTCACCCAGAGGTCACCCAGAGGTCACCCAGAGGTCACCCACAGGTCAAACTTACTGTCTGAAACTTTACAAATGAACTCACAGCTCATTCTGCTCTGACTCACTAAGAATCAGCTGCTTCTCCACCTCTGACCCCGGCCTGCAGACAGGAAGTGATGCGTTCAGAGGAGGAAGAGGCGCCGCTCCGTCTTCGGGGAGCGACCCACTCCAGCCTGCTGGGTTCTGGTGATCGGATCGGTTCTGATCCGTGAATGCAGATCTGTTCTCCTGTTCTCTGTGCGTCTATTTCTGGAAGCAGCTTCATTTCCAGGAACCGGACTCTGTTGCTAGGCAACGAGCCGAAGATGAAATGGACACCAGAACTTCCCTCCCGGTTCTGCTGAGTGTGGTGCTGCCGATCTGTCGGGTCCGCCGGGAATGCTGGGAGATGTCTGCCCGTTGCTAGGTTACCTCCCTGTGCCGTGCAATCAGCCGGCAGGATGAGGGCGACGCTGCCAGCGCCGGACCACCCTGAAGGGGTCACAGCGGCAGCGGGCCAGCCCCGCCCGCCTGCCACGCCCCGCGGATTAAATCAAACACCCCATCAGTCCGATTCTCTGGCCAACATGCAGGAAACTCCTGATGGTCAGTGAATGCACCGTTGATGTTTGTTCTTCCTTCCTTCATGTTTCATAAAAACCAGATGAAGTTTCAGATTTCAGCTCCTGGTTCGTCACGTTAACTCAGTGACTGACTGAGGTTAGATCAGTTTACCGCCTGTTTGTCTCGTCTCTTTGTCTCGTCTCTTTGTCTCCACACCAGCCGCCGTAAATCACCGCCGTAGCATCGCTGAGGCGGTCGTTAGTGCCGGTCACTGACTTCCTAACGTCACAGCCTGCTGGTGATGCGTTCAGGAACACATTTCTCAGCTTATAAAACCTCAAACTCGCCGATCAGACACAACATTTTGTTTGTGAGATTTTATGGCTGCATTCAGAAGATTGGAAGACAAAATGGGCAATAAGTGAGGAGAAATATTTACTAAACTTTAGAGACTTTCACTTTTTGACTGTTTTAAATGTATTTCTAATCATTTTCTCTGGATTTCATGATTTTCTGCCGTTCTGTTGACGTTTTTAATCTGCAGCAGAACTTGAAGGATCTTTGCAGGAAACGTTTCCTGAAACTTCCTGCAGCAAAAAAAAAAAAAAAAATCGATTCACTAAGAATCTCATACAGTTTGGTTCAGAATCGATTTTAAAAATCCCAAAATCAGTTTAAAAACAATCATAAATCATGAAGCTGTCGGCCTCCATTTTGTATCAATGTTGCCATGGAGACGGTACTGGAAAGTATGCATGAGCAGAGAAAAAACTACAAGATAAAAGAAAGAGAGTGAAGGTAAACATCTGGACGTTTTACAGCCCATAAGGAGTTTGGTGGGCGGAGCCACGCAGCTGGTGGGCGGAGCCACGTAGTTGGTGGGCGGAGCCACGCAGTTGGTGGGCGGGGTCACGCAGCTGGTGGGCGGAGCCAATCAGAAGTTTGTTTCTGTGTTTTATGCTGAAGTGTTGATGTTTCTCTTTAAATCGTTTGTTTCCAGGACCTGGTTTGTACCGACAGCAGCAGGAATCATCCTGGATAGTCATTTCAAAAATCAAATCAAATTGTGACACAGTAAAAAACTCTGAATATCAGGAGAACCTCTGCTGGTTCTGGTCGGACCGGGTCCATCTCTGCGCGAATGAGCAGGAATCCCATCCAGATGGTTTAGGAATCTGAGCCGATCAGGATCCCAGAATCAGACTGAATCCAGTGGATTCCAGGTTTATTTAACGGTTTTAACAGCAGGATGAAGAACAGCAGCTCCTCTTCCTCCTGCTGCTGCAGTTTGCTGCAGTCTCATGTTGGACATGTGGAGCTGGAAGTGGGTCACAGACTGAAATCTGCTGAGTCACCGTTTGCCGAGTCATGATGCAGCAGAGCTGTAAGGAAAAACATTTTCAATTCTCCTTGAATATAACAGAAGTTTTAGAAATCCAGTTCAGACGAACCTCAGGCTCTGCATAGCAACAGCTGCTGGTTGCTATGCAGACATTTTGTTATTATTGGATGCATTCAGGTTCACATCTGGTTTCTGGAAAAACTGCACTTCAATCAGGAGTTCATTCTGAAGCAACAGGAGTTCTGACATTCAGGAAGGTCAGTAAACGCACCGCAAGGAGAACTGAACCATTCTGTCATAAAGTCTGGATTATACAGGGAACCTGAAGGCATCACCAGCTGTTCCCA